CAACTATATGCAAATAGCTTCTTTCACACTGACGGGCACAAATACAAAGATTAAGAAAAGACTACACAACACACATTTGTGAGAGCAATTAAAGGAAAAAGCAAGATTTTGTGGAAAGGTGGCTCCCAAACCATGTTGGACTGGTAATTAAATGATGGCAGTAATTTCCTTGATTTTTAACTGTGAAATGAGCCACTCGGAAGCTTTTCTTAAAGGATTCCTACAGGACTATCCAGACCCCTCCAGGAAAGAAAAACGTCAAGCTTTCTGAACGGATTTGGAACTATTCTGGTTCACATTCCAAGTTAAAGGTGCAGTTAACCACTCGGATCACATTCTGGCAAGAATACATTTCAAAAGCTGGAACCATTTATCATCCTAAAACAGCCGACAACGTGCCCCGATTGCTATCACTATTCCCAGACAGAAGTAACCTGTCCCTCCAGGGACAGGGGCTCTGAAAGTGGGTGAGGGCAGGAGGGGATGGGGTCTAAGGCACAACCAATCTCCAGGGTGACCCTCATAGCAGAGAAATCTCTTGCTACACGAGGTGGATACACCCTGACTCTTGTGGGAACTGTGCTGCCCTGAGAGGGGACAGCCAGGGGGCTGTGAAAATGAGTGGAGGCCTTCTACAGCTTTCCCTTGGCTGCTGGTGAGAGCAGCCATCCCATGACCCGACCATACAGAACTGCTGTTTGCAGAGTTGTGGTAGCAATGTGGGTCCCAGGAACCCTCATTTATACAGCCCTCAGCTGGGCCCTAATTGGCTGTATTGGCTTCAGCTGTGGGCTCTACAATCTCAACCCTCTTCCAGGGCTGAGTTTAACCCTTGCTAGGCCAGTGCGGGGAAGACGCCCTGTCACACTCTGCACTTCATTTTTTTTTAAAAGACCCCTGTTTCAGCATAAAGTGGTCTCGTAAGGCCAATCATGCCAGAGTTTGGAAGAGGTAAGTCGTCTTATCTTTCAGAGGGAGGCCGCACAGGGGAGTAAGCAGAACACATGTGCCACCAAGTCCACTGGAACTCAGAAGGCCGAGCTGGCGATGCTCTTGGAGAGCATCTCCTGCCCACATGAGGGCTGGGAGAGCTATCGGAGCGTTTCAAACTTCTCCTCCAACCATCACTAAGAGAGCAGGGGGAGGAGAGGGCAGCGGCAGGGGGCCGCTAAACTTTCCAAGGTTCCTTCAAAACTTGGGAGCCCGCATCTGGCTGACACAGCCCCAAGCAAAGCCCGGCACTTTCCCCCACATGACGGTGGGGGTGGGGGTGGGGATACCTGCCGAGCCTACAGCATCCCAGCAGGATGGGCAGGTCTTCCGGGTCTCCCAGTGGGTCCTGTCCGGAATGAATGAGCCATGGGGGAGCGCACGCAGAGAGGCTGGAGTACACCCCCCCTTTCCCCACTGCTCACCTGCGGGGATGGGGGGCAGCGCTGTGTCCTCTGCTCAGCCTAGCAGCTGCGCCAACACCACACCGCTCAGCACCATCTTCACCCCTCCAGTGGGACGCGCCTCCAGTGGCGCCCGTTTGCCCCGTTGCAGCTGGGAGGCACCGTCGGGCAGGGGCAGAGTGGGGGGAGGGGGAAATGAAGCCCCTCGCAGCCTGCATGGTGCATGATAATAATAACTAAGAGAGATTGCTTATGTGAATGTCTCCTATTTGGCTGCATTTCCTATTTTTAGTACATTTTTAAAATTGGAGAAGAAAGCAGTGTATTTGAGGGGAATTTGTGGTGCGACTTTTGCAGGGTTGTCAGCTAAAATGCTGACTTTCATTTGCTGCCATAGCAATGCGAGGGGTTTTTTCAAACTTTTTGCTCTGACAAACACCCAGCCTTTACTTTATCTGGGATTCAAGGTTCATCTCAAGTAATATTGATTCTCTGTTGAATTTTTGGCATCCTTTCCGTCTAATCCAGAAGATGTTATCTAAATCATGGATCACGCTTCTCGTCAGTTTTCAGTGGTGCATGGTTTTTACTCCTTATCGCTCTACTTAATTGCTGTATTGGCTGTCTTTGGAGGAAGGATTTTATTTCATGCTCTGACTCGGGGCTGCAAAATTACTTCCATGTCTTCCAACCACATTTGTGAGAGCAATTAAAGGAAAAAGCAAGATTTTGTGGAAAGGTGGCTCCCAAACCATGTTGGACTGGTAATTAAATGATGGCAGTAATTTCCTTGATTTTTAACTGTGAAATGAGCCACTCGGAAGCTTTTCTTAAAGGATTCCTACAGGACTATCCAGACCCCTCCAGGAAAGAAAAACGTCAAGCTTTCTGAATGGATTTGGAACTATTCTGGTTCACATTCCAAGTTAAAGGTGCAGTTAACCACTCGGATCACATTCTGGCAAGAATACATTTCAAAAGCTGGAACCATTTATCATCCTAAAACAGCCGACAACGTGCCCCGATTGCTATCAACTATTCCCAACAGAAGTAACCTGTCCCTCCAGGGACAGGGGCTCTGAAAGTGGGTGAGGGCAGGAGGGGATGGGGTCTAAGGCACAACCAATCTCCAGGGTGACCCTCATAGCAGAGAAATCTCTTGCTACACGAGGTGGATACACCCTGACTCTTGTGGGAACTGTGCTGCCCTGAGAGGGGACAGCCAGGGGGCTGTGAAAATGAGTGGAGGCCTTCTACAGCTTTCCCTTGGCTGCTGGTGAGAGCAGCCATCCCATGACCCGACCATACAGAACTGCTGTTTGCAGAGTTGTGGTAGCAATGTGGGTCCCAGGAACCCTCATTTATACAGCCCTCAGCTGGGCCCTAATTGGCTGTATTGGCTTCAGCTGTGGGCTCTACAATCTCAACCCTCTTCCAGGGCTGAGTTTAACCCTTGCTAGGCCAGTGCGGGGAAGACACCCCGTCACACTCTGCACTTCATTTTTTTTTAAAAGACCCCTGTTTCAGCATAAAGTGGTCTCGTAAGGCCAATCATGCCAGAGTTTGGAAGAGGTAAGTCGTCTTATCTTTCAGAGGGAGGCCGCACAGGGGAGTAAGCAGAACACATGTGCCACCAAGTCCACTGGAACTCAGAAGGCCGAGCTGGCGATGCTCTTGGAGAGCATCTCCTGCCCACATGAGGGCTGGGAGAGCTATCGGAGCGTTTCAAACTTCTCCTCCAACCATCACTAAGAGAGCAGGGGGAGGAGAGGGCAGCGGCAGGGGGCCGCTAAACTTTCCAAGGTTCCTTCAAAACTTGGGAGCCCGCATCTGGCTGACACAGCCCCAAGCAAAGCCCGGCACTTTCCCCCACATGACGGTGGGGGTGGGGGTGGGGATACCTGCCGAGCCTACAGCATCCCAGCAGGATGGGCAGGTCTTCCGGGTCTCCCAGTGGGTCCTGTCCGGAATGAATGAGCCATGGGGGAGCGCACGCAGAGAGGCTGGAGTACACCCCCCCTTTCCCCACTGCTCACCTGCGGGGATGGGGGGCAGCGCTGTGTCCTCTGCCGCTCAGCACCATCTTCACCCCTCCAGTGGGACGCGCCTCCAGTGGCGCCCGTTTGCCCCGTTGCAGCTGGGAGGCACCGTCGGGCAGGGGCAGAGTGGGGGGAGGGGGGAATGAAGCCCCCCGTGCTGCCGCTCAGCACCATCTTCACCCCTCCAGTGGGACGCGCCTCCAGTGGCGCCCGTTTGCCCCGTTGCAGCTGGGAGGCACCGTCGGGCAGGGGCAGAGTGGGGGGAGGGGGAAATGAAGCCCCTCGCAGCCTGCATGGTGCATGATAATAATAAAACTTACTTAATTAGAAAGTACCGGACATTTCTATGTCCGGTATTTTCTCAATCTGTTTCCTGGACAGAAAGCTCAAATACCAGACGGTCCTGTTCAAAACCGGACACCTGGCAACCCAATTCCGAGGGTATTGCTGGAACTGATTTCATGGATGGGAAAGGAGTTGGCCTGCTTTAGAAAGGCTTCCCTTTGACAGAGTAGCAGCCGGGGAACTGCAAATTGCATGGGAGGCTTGCCTCTGAAATCTGGATTTCTATTAGCCGTGTGGTGGCATCAGGTTGGTAAGAACGTTTTTTAATTGTTCTTTGCTACTACTCCAGCCCGTAGAGATCCCTCAGCAGAGAAAACCCTGTCTGGAGAATTATTTTTAGGATGGATTTGATTCCTGCTTTCTGGGCCTTGGACAGATAGGTCCTTTCAGTAGACGCTGCATTATTAGTGGACTCTGGATTGCATTTGTTTAATATTTCAGGACTGTTTCAAAAAGCCTGTGGCATTGAGGTGAAGCCTTGTTCTAGTTTTGATTTTGAGTGGGTCTTGAGTGGGAAATTCTGTAAGATTCCAAGGATTATTTATCATGTTCCATCCCTTTGATTCTTAAACAACAGTAGGAGGGTTGAGTTTCTTACCCAAAAGCAAAATAGAGGTTAGGTCTGCCCATCTCTCAGGGGCATTGAGGATAAAAGCCATTAATGACTGTGAAGGGATGAGATCAGTATAACTTACCTGAATAGACATCTCAGAGGGATAGCCCTGTTAGTATGTAACTTAGGGTATGTCTAGACTACATGCCTCTGCCGGCAGAGGCATGTAAATTAGACTACCCAACATAGTCAATGAAGTGGGGATTAAAATAAAAATGGCCGCCGCACTGTGCTGGCACAGCTGATCATCGGCACAATGCGGTTGTCAAGGAAAGCCTTTGCCGACCGATCCTGTAAACCTCGTGGCAAGGAAAGCCTGTGCCGACCGATCCTGTAAACCTCGTTTCACGAGGCATAAAGGATGTGTCGGCAAAGGCTTTCCTCATTGACTGATCCGCGTCTTGACTGCCACATTGTGCCAACGATCAGCTGAGCCGGCACAGTGCAGTGGCCATTTTAATTTTAATTAAACGGGGAATATTTAAATCCCCGCTTGATTAACTATGTTGGGTAGTCTAATTTACATGCCTCTGCCGGCAGAGGCATGTAGTCTAGACAGACTCTTAGAAACTAACAAAAATATATATGATATCATGAGCTTTTGTGGGCAAAACCCACTTCTTCAGATGAGCTGGAGTGGAGAAACAGGGAAAACTGGATAGAAACAGGAAAGAAAGATCATTTCCTGGTAAAGGTACTGTCGGAATAGCAGCACATAGAGCCACAAGAGGGCGCAAGGGAGGGGAAGAAGGATGAGTTACAGAGACATAGCTCAAAGAAGTCCCAGTATATTTCCACAGGATTTACTCCTTTTGGTCTAGTTCTTACAATACTGGACCAGTGTAATTTGCATTTAATAATTCTGGTCCCAGTGGGTTATTACAATATTTTGCTATAAGAAAAAAATAGCTTCCCCTTGTTTTGCATCTCCAAAATGTGCTGCTAGGGACCCTCTCTTCTGTGCAGCTCCTCCAAAATCCAGTAATGATGGTTCTCCTGCAGGAACAAATCTAGCGGGCCAATATCTTTGTCGGTTTTCCTTATTGTCTTTACCTGCTGTTCCCATTTTATCAAGATCCTGGGCAACTTTTTTTCAGTGTCTTCTAGTAATGTTGTTAATAAATTAAACAGAAGAGCAATCCAGGCCAGACCAAAGATAATCCAGATGGCCACCAAAGACCGGTAATAGGGAGGATAATTCCTGTCAGGCTGTTTACCTGAAAACAAGGAGAAGGAAAGGAGAATCAGCTAAGAAGCTGAGTTCAGTTTACCTGAATACAATTGACTGTGCTAGTATACTGGTCAGAATAGTTCATGTTAAATGCCCCTAAAAGGTCACTCATCTGATGAAGTGGGTTTTACACACCAAAGCTGATGACCTAATATATTTGTTAGTCTCTAACGTGCCACTGGGCTACTTGTTTTTAAAGTTACAGATAGTTTTTTATAGTGACAGACTAAGAGTATGTCTACACTGCGGAGCTATTTCAGGATACTGGTAGTATCCCAAAATAGCTTTTCCGCATCTATTGTTGCATCTCGTTATTTCTAAATAGATTTCGAAATAACGGGTGGCTTATTCTGACATCCCGGTAACTCTCATTCTACGAGGGTTAAGGGGAATTTTGGAATAGCAAGTTATTTCAAAATTTGGTGCTGTGGAATTATAGAATAAGCTATTTCAAAATAGCATCAAAATAAGCTACGCAATTTGTGTAGCGCAAATTGCATAGCTTATTTCAAGCTACGGGTGCTGTGAAGACACACCCTAGCATGGTTACCCCTTTGAGACTAAAATGTAGCGTGTTACTTCATCTTTCCAAAAGGGATGCAATTGTGCTACATTTTCCACTGGAAAAATGCTTTGTTGGATTGAAGTGTGGGGACTACCACAGGCAAACCTAATATTTATAGCGGTAACCAATGATGTAAGATAATATATTAGTACTAAGATACTCCAAGATGTGTTTCAGTAGCATTGACAGGGATGGAGTGCAATGGAGGAGTGTAGCTGAAATGTACCATGGTTACCAATTTATACCATCTCTGTATGCTTACCTGGCAACGGGTGATTGTGACCTAATAAACAGCTGTCTCAAACAGCAGAGATCCTTGGATGTAAGGGCGAAAACTACAATTCATACATTACTTTCTACAGGCTGCAGGGCTTACTCCATTTAAAAGGAAAGAAATACAATGGATGCAACTGATGAAAACTCCCTGCTACATACTGAAGGCACAACTTTCCGCATTGGAGCCCATTGGATTGATGTGTATTTCATGCAGTCCAAACCTTTTAGCATCACTAGGAGCTCTCCACCTGCTGTGCAACACAGATCATTTAGTTTGGCTACTCAGACATAAGCAATCCTCCAACAAGTGACGCTTTGTTCACACTCGGTTTAGTCACGTGTGATGTTCACCGCACAATGCAGCCAAGACGGCTCACTGAAATGTAAACTTCTGTTCGCCGAGTGCAGAAGGTCGAAACACCAGCCTGGGAGCTGCAGAATAACAGGTCTCGGCTCTGTAAGAGTCACCGCACTGCGTGCAGTTCACATTGTGCAACTCCAAAGCCGTGTCGCCAAAGACTGACCTGCCTTGGCACCCAAAACTCTACTGGTTTGCTACATTTTTGTATCAAAATTAAAGGGAATGGATTCAGGTGGGGGGTCGGGTGTCCCGTATTTTTTCCCTGGGACAAATGAGGCCCTGCAAACTTGTGATTAGGAAAGATGATGTCCTTTCCGGGCTCCTGGACAAGGTGTGGGGCAGTTCCATGCACCCAGAAGGGGCACGGCCTCAGGCAGAAGCCGTGAGGCCGGAGGACAGCTGCCACCCCACCCCGCCCTCAGTGCTGCCAAGCCCCCACCTCATCCTGACATGCCTCTCCTGCCCTCAGCATTGCCTGGAGTGCACCCAGCTATGCCGCCACCTCCCTAGGCAGCCCTAAGAGCCGCCCGGAGGACTGGGTGGCGATTTAAAGGGCCCAGGGTTTCGGGTGCCACCACTGCTGCAGTAATGGAGGCTGTGGCAACTGCCTTTTCAAATGCTAGGCCCCAGGGCAACTGCCTCCTTTGTGTCCCGTCCCCTCCGACCCCACAATGGCAGGCCTGCTTGTTCTTGACCCATGTACTAAGTTGCTCTTCAGTTACAGTCCTAGTGTCTACCTGACAATATTGTTTAGCAGGGAAGTGTCGGTCTAAGGATTGGGATCATGGGTGGTCAGTGAAGGTAGAGCTGGGGGAGGGAAGCCCCCAGCCCCAGCCCCAGCCCTGCCCCTTTCTGCTGAAGCCCTGCCCCCCATGGGAGCCAAGCTGCCTCCCTACCACCACCTCGGGGAGAGGAGGAAGGTGGGTGGGCGTGCACAGCCCAGCCTTCCTGGCCCCAGAGCACTTGGAGGGAGGAGGGCACGCGGCCCCAATCTCCCCGGCCCTGGAGTACAGCGGGTGCTTGGGGGCAGCAACACTCCACCACCAGGAAACATACAGTAGGTGTTCTGGTCAGAGCCAGGCTGGGAAGGCAATGTCTGCTTAGAATACCTGCCACCTCGGGTGGATCCCTTGCCCACTGGCCATCTAGAGCCATAGTGTTAAATGTCTTGCATACCGTCCGCCCATGATAGGGACTTACACTGAAGATTGTTTTTCATGGCTAATCCCTTGTGGGTGGAATGGAGAGGATAAGAGTATCCTCTGGCGTGGAGGCCTGCATGGGTGTGGAAGAGCCCTAACCCCTACCACACTGGGGAGCCATAGAGCTCTCTGTGGGTTTCTTGTGCCCCAGCACACACGGATTTTGTAGATGGGAGAGGAATGGGCCAGGGAGGCGTATCCACTGGCCACTCACAGCCATTTCCCTTGCTTTCTAGGTGGAAATAAGTTGGCATAGGAGTTGCAAGAGCAGCCGTGAGGCTGGGAAGATTCCCCTTCCCCACTGGGCCCAGTTATTCAGGCTGAGAGCCACGAACAGGATTTGGCCTCTACATGGTCTGAACAAAACAAATTGGAATCACTGCTCCAGAGGAGCTGTCTAGCTGTAGAGGTGCGAAATTCCCCATTGCAGTGAGCCAGCATAGGACCGATGCATCACTTAATTACTCAACATATAGCTTAGCCCAGGGGTGGGCAATACTTTTTGATGGGGGGGGCCACTCCAAGAATTTGGAAAGTGGTCGAGGGCTGCACTCTTCCATGATATTAATGGAGGAGGTGTGGGGTCTGGGAAGGAGGTTGGGTGCAGAAGGGAGCTTGGCTGAAGGAGGCAGTTGTGACCTGGGGCACTGGACTGGGATACAGGGGGTTGGATTGTGACCTAGGGCAGGGAGGGAGTGCAGAGATTTGGGTTGTGAGCTAGGGTAGGAGGGGACTGTGATCTGGGACAGGGATTGGGGTGCTAGATTTGGGAGGGGATATAGGTACAGGAGGGGGTGCACAGATTTGGTTATGTGGAGTGGGGGGCTGAGGGTTGGGGGAGGGAGGGCCTGGGGTGCCAGAAGTAGGCTCTGCCAGGAAACTTACCAGCCAGCAGCCCGTTCCCAAATCAGCCTCCCTGCCTGCCCCACCCCTACATAGGCAGCAGCCATGTGCTCTGGAGCCCCTTGTGCTTCGTGGCTGCCTGTTATTGAAACACGTTCCCAAAGCAGCCTCCCTGCCTGCCCCACCCCTACATAGGCAGCAGCCATGTGCTCTGGAGCCCCTTGTGCTTCGTGGCTGCCTGTTATTGAAACAGGAAGCTCCCATTGTCCGGTTTCTGGCCAAAAGCCAGCCAATGGGATTGTTCTGGGGGTGGGAGCAGCTCCTAAAACTTTTCCCCCTTCTCTCCAGCCTCAGTTTTTAATGAAAAACCTCCCTGCAGCCATGTTTCTGTGTGACGTGTGGGTGGGGCGAGGCAAGCAGGGAGCCTGCCTGGGGCTCCCCGCAGTATCTGTGGGCTGTATCAGTGCCTTGGTGGACTGGATACGGCCCACAGGCTGTATTTGCCCAGGCCTGGATTTAGACCAATTCACCACCTAACTGTCGCCTTCTGCATGGAGGGGAATTGTACCCTGGAAGTGTTACCTATATACAGAATTAAAATGAACAAATAGGGACCAGACTCATCTACTCAGCATCGTATATGTGGGCTCTCTCATACCACACAAAAGACATTATCTTGCTGCTGTGATCCAACAGCTGCATAATCCTCTTTTACCCAGTAAGATTGCTGCATGCAAATGAGCTCAAGCAAATTCTTTTCCAATTGGCTATTTCACATCTGGCCATATACAGTAGACAGAGTCGACTGCTTGTCTAAAAATAATGCCAAGTACACAACAATCAGGAGAGCCCGGTTCTTGTTTCATGGGGATGGGCAGGGATGGCGTCCTTCGCCTCTGTTGTCAGAAGCTAGGAATGGGTGACGGGAATGGATTGCGTGATGATTCCATTCTGTTCATTCCCTCTGGGGCACCTGGCATTGGTCACTGGCCCAGTATGGCTGTTCTTATGGGGAACAAGCTCCGTCACATGAAAAAGGCATGAGTTGCTAGACTAACCATAGTTTTGCTACTATTGTTTAGCACTGATGTAAACCTATACTACAGGGTAAATATTTCAGCATCCGCCTGCTAGACCAGTCGATGATGGTGAAAATCCAGGGCCATGAATTTAGCACAAATGTTGTTCTTTAACTGTGTTTACAAAGTCGCACATCAACAGTTGCGGAAAATGCTGTTCAGATGTTGTTCCTCGGAATGTAATTTGCTCCAGTTATTTTAAAGTGCCCGTTTAATGTGGACCAGGGGCAGATGTCACAGCCAGTTCTGTTGCTGCCTCAGTCTCTCAGCCCTCTGTGTTATAGGCTCAACCCCCCACTGACTTGATGACAGCAAGAGTTTTGGGTGCTCAGCATCTGACAGGCCAGATGGTGTTTTGATGTTCCAGTCAGAATTCTCTCTCTTCTTCTCCCTCTCTTTTGTGGGGGTTGGGGGGTGAATTTAGGGTTTGTGAAAGAATTTGGATTGTCAGTCCTACAGACAAAAGTTATTTGCTCACAAAAGAGGCAGAATGCAGGCAATGACAGTGTACGTTTCCCTACCCCATTCTGCCAACACATCTCAGCCCTAGCCTGCAGGAGACCTCCCAATGGGTGAGAAGGAAGGTCAGTCCGTCTCCATGCCCTGCAGGTCTTGACCTCTCTGCTGAACTTAAACATGCTGGCAGAGGTGGGTTTTTTCTGCTGTGGATGGCTTGTCTGCTGAGAATTGGAGTGAGGCTCCAAACTCATGGCGTTTAAGCCCCTAAACTTCCAGTACCATTGTAAATGCTTTTTCCTTGTCATTTCTCTATTGAGAGGGAGTTCTGGTTGCCAACGTGTTGCATGTACTGTGGAGGAATCTATTCCGTTCAATTTGACAAAATACAAATATTGGATCATTTCTGCTGATAGTGGTTTGGACTCTGGGGTTCACTTGAAGGGTGTCTCTAGGGGATCCAAGAGAGAAACTATTTTGGTGAGAAATACATGAAGGTGTCTGCAGAATGACTTTGCCTAGGAGGCTGTGTTTTATATGGTTTAGCTTCGGGAGAACTTTTGAACTCCCATATGTGTGAAATCCAGGAGGGTCTAATGATACATGGGGGGGTTACAGGAATTAATTTCTATGGGGAGTCATGTCAGTGGAAGAATAGGTCTTCCCCCCACCCCCAGGATAAGTTTTCCATTGCCCACTTTTCATCAAAGATTGAAGCAGTGAAAAGCATAGCTTCCAAATTAGTGGGGTTAAAACAAGCCCCAATTATTTCATCACTGTGTAAAACACAGGTGTCACGTATGCATGTAAAACTTTGTAGTCAGGACACTTCAAAGTTTCCTCTCTTGCTCCCCAGATTCCCTGCATCTGCATTGCCCAAACTACTGCATGTTTTTGTTCCGTTCATAAAGCCCCATTTTTCATCGCGTCTAGGCATTTGGGTGTCTGAACCACTCTGGGCTGCCTTCAGGGAACTGGCCTTTCCTCATAGAATTACAAAAGCCAGAGATGGGAAAGACCAGTGAATGCAGCATTGCTTCCTAGTGTACATGTGCTTTGTTAATCACTGCACTAGTAATTCTGCCACCTTTTAATTCCAAGAGCAGTTCTATTATCCTTACCTACTACGTAATCTCCAAAGCCAATGGTGCTCAGGGTGATAAATGCAAAATAAACTCCTTCGCTGTAGGACCAGCCCTCCGCTACCTGGAAGACAAATGACGGCAGACACAGGAACACTAGAATGCCCATTACCAGGAAGAAGAGAAGGGTCAGAAACTTGATTTTCTTCTGAAAAATAAACCAACACAAATTATGACCTGCTTGGAACCAAGAGCAAACCCTACCCAATGTGAGTGTTCTGGATAAATAGCTGGACAGGAACTCCTTCCAGGCCAGCAAGAGTTAAAGATTGACAACAGTCAGACAAAAGGTCTGTCTCCCATGAAGCACCGTGGCTTCGCTTCTTGGGGAGAAGGGGTCACGTATCATGACAATCACATAGCCTCGGTGCATCATGGGAGATGAAGTCCCCGCCCCAGGAATGAATGAAAGCATGACACACTTGAACTACATCTCCCTGGAGGCACCCTGCTGACCTCTCAGAATCAAAGCTTTTCCATTTTTCAGCCACAATATTTCAGGTGTAGTTGGATTTGTGGATGTTCAATTCTTTGACAAAAAATAAACTTTCCATGGAAAATTGCCAACCAGCCCAAGTAGCTGTCATGAAGCCCAGACCCTGGGTTGCGCAGGGCTGGCTTTGAATTGCATGGAGTCATGCTCAAGAGGTGCACCCCAAGGCTGAGGGAATCTGGACCATCCCATGTCCTTGCAGTCAAGAATGGGTGAAGAGGCTGGCAGAGGCAAGAGTTTGGTGTATGCAAAAATTTCTCTCTTATTTTTGTAGGTATGAAATTTACAAGTAGAAATTGGATTAAAGGAAAGGAAATGGGACGACCCTGGTGCCCACCCTGCAGAGGGCTAGGTAAGCTGTATAGACCCTTAGTCCCTTCTTAGGGTGGCCATATGTTGCGTGTTGGCTTGGACGGTCCCTTTTTTAAGCCTTGTCCTGGCTGGCCTGACTGTTTTGGCAAAAGTGAGCATTTATCCCATTTGCTCTTGCAAACTGAAGGAAATTGGCCTTTTTATGGGAGAATTCAGATTATTCAGCAGCCCCAGAAGGATAGCTCCCACCACCTCAAAAGCAGAGGGGAGATCATTAGGAACAGCGAGCGACTCTGCGTGTGTCTACTCTGCAGCTGGGACTGAGCTTCCTTGGGGCAGGAGAGCTTGCGCTGGCATGCTAACATCGCCACGTGGGCATTGTCGTGCTGGCAATGGGTCCGGCTGGCCACCCAAGCTCAGACTTAGAGGCTTGGGCTTCCGCGGGTGCCCTCCACACAGCTCTCTACAGCACGTTAGCATGAGCCCTATTAGTAGAAGCCTGTCTAGTGAGGGTGGAAGAAGACTTGCGTCCTGCTGCAATGTAGACATACCCTCTGAGGCCTGGTCGGCCTTGAGAGCCCTTGCCTCCGACTCCACAAGACCCATCCCAGTCTTCCAGCACATTGACTAGAATGGCCCTCTTCTCATAGGCTGTTTGTTCCTTGTCTTTCACCCTGTGGAGCACTGGACAGTGGGCAGCTGGCTTGTGGTGTGAAAAGTGGCAGGTTAGGCCATCGGGGAACAGGAGGATAGGGACGGAGTAGCTTGTATCATGGGCCTACCAAGCTGTGCACCTTGCAATACACCAGGTATTTTGTTAACATTTCTCTGATATTCGACGGTGCGGAAGATATTTTGCTTTGGTGTCTATTTCCCACCGTCCTACACACCTTGCCTGATCTCTTTAGAGTTTAAAATCTTCAGAGCAGGGATTCTCCCTTCAGTGCCTAGCGCCGGCTGGCTGTGTAAGGAACATCGAAAGGAAACTCAATACCCCGCGTACAAACAACCCTTGAGAGAATGGAACTGATTACCTTTTTCATTCCCTTCGCATACAGCCATCGCCCAAGCCTTTCACACAGCAGAGAAAGCATCTTCCCGACCTGGTGCAGGAAAACGATATTCAAAGGGATTCCGAATGAGGCAAACAAGACACAGAAGATCTGGCCAGCAGCCGTTTTAGGACACAAGGTGCCATAGCCTGTTGAGACACAAAAGGAGGAGAGGGACCCCTCCAGTGAGCCTTCTTCTTGGAGATTAGGCTTCTAATTAGCTTACACTTGTTGGCGCATTCCATTTTGCATTCATGCAGCACTGCTTTAGCACATCACGAGTGTTTCTAGTGCTCTGTAGCCAGACGTGCACGCTCTTTCCAACCAAATCACAATGACTGGTTAAATTACATGGTCTGCATATTTTTAGGGTTCAGAGAGTGCTATGTTTGGGTCTGGCCTGACCTTCATTTGAACTACATTATAATCTGAAAGCAATCTATAAAAACACGCTATCCATTGCTACAAAGGATGCAAATAGATACAACATGGAAATAGAGAAACCAGAAGTCAAGGGATCTGGAAGATGTCAAGGCTGGTGTTTGGGCTGTTTGCCATTCAGTGATCAGATAAGCTCCCTTCCTGAATCTTAGCCCACATCTCATTTCTTGTCACGCCATCCCTCAGGGATCAGTGCATTGTACCACACTAAGTAACCCTCTGAAAGCTTCGGACTGGGTAGAGTTGGCCTCATACGTGGAAAAAGGTATCCAAACCCTTTGCCTTCTCTTAATGTAGTGACTCAGCCTCTTGTAACTATTTGAACTATCTACTGTCTCTCTTTTTTCCTCCCCTCTTTTTTTCTATTTTTTTCCTCTTTTTTTTCCTTCTCCCTCCTTTCCCCTTCCCTTATTTATTCTTGGATCTGGACTTCTAATACTCCTGTCATCTGAAGAAGTGGGCTGTGCCCATGAAAGCTCATGACACCATCTGCATGTTTTGTTAGTCTTTACTAACTAGACTATTTGTTGTTTTTTAAGTTTTTCCTGTTACAGACTAACTCAGCTACCCCTCTGCAGCTTTCTAACATTTAAAATCCTCCAACTTCCCTCTTATTTTCAATGGCTCTGGGAACCCAACATGTGAGCAGTTGTTCATAAAATAGTAGTACCCTTAATAATGCCCTTCATCCCAAGGGACTGTAAATTGCCATATAGAGGGCTCACTTCACCCAGCACTGAAAGGCAGCCACCTCATATCCAATTGAAAACACAGAGACCAGTGACATAGGCAGAAAGTGGAGTTTGGCTAGGACACCAGGGCTAAGATCCTTCTGCAAAAGACACTACTGGATCTTTAATAGTTATAAATGGTGAGGACTTTAATCTTAAGTTTCAGTGGAAAGATGACACCTTCCAAAATCACAGTCCCCCTGACCCCACCTTAGCCCCATACTAGTATTGTCTCAAGGAGGAACCAGAGGGAAGCATACCACCCTACTGCGTTTTGTAGCCCAGTGAGATTTCCTTGGCAGGAGAGGGGAGTTTGGTCACTCAACCGCTCTCCAAGTTTGACCTTGCTCAGCTTGTGAGATCAGATGAACCATAGCCTAGAATGCTGGAAATAAACACGCCCCCATTGAAAAAACAAACCAACAAGCTACACCTAGGATCAAATTCCTGGTGTTCCGCTGACCTCACCCACACCGAGAATACAGCAACATTCTAACCGTGAAGAAAGTACAAATGCATCCATGCTTATAAGTCAGCTCATTTGGATCCAAAAGTTATACCACTTGAACTCTACTGGTATAATCCCTCTATTGCAGAGATAGCTATAACAGTATAAGGGTACGTCTACACTAGGAAGACTATGGCAATGCAGAGCCTCATGGAAAGTGGAATAAGCTATAGAGGTGAAAGGCGTTATTATACCAGTATAATTGCATACACATGAGGGTTTGTACTGGCATAACTACATCAGTAAGAAAACCCTCACACAGCTTCTGACATGGTTATACTGGTACGAAATCACTGTGTAGACCAGGCCTTAAAGATAAAGGATTTATTCACATTAGGGATGAATTTGCCATCAGCTGTTTTTAAAGGGGAGCAATATCTGAAAAATGAGTCAATGGCTTCATACTTCAAAGAATTTACTGTAGCATGTCCTCTCCCCCATAGCCATTCAGCTGCTGCAAGTTTTACAAAGGGATAGTCATATGCTTGATTCATGTCCTTAGCATGTGCGCGAGTTTTACAAAGGGATAGTTATATGCTTGATTCATGTCCTTAGCATGTGCAAAGTGGATCTATCCCAGCACAAGTTGTTCACTGACTGATAATATAATGGTTCTATTTAGGGGGAATAGAAACTAAGACAATTCCCTGGTAAGTTCATTGGACTTTCGGCCAACCAGAAGGTTGATGCAATCTCTGTTGGATGAGACAGAGCTATTTGTCTTCATCTCACTGAGCTTTTGGCTCTTTCATCCAGCTCAAACACCTTTCTAGTGAAGCCCTTACCAAGCCTCTCTGGGTGTCAGAGATATGCTGGATCATGAGGTGGTTTTACTAGGTTGGTGGAGACCTCTAGGCCAGGGCTACTCAACATGTAGCCCACAGGCCATTTGTTTGTAGCCCGCGGTGTGGTTTGGATTTATGCAGGGCTTAACATGCGACCCGTGGGTGGGATCCTTTGAACATGGCCTCCATGGGGAACACGCTCTGCAATGGTGAGTCAATATATTGGTCTTCTGTTGATATGCATTTTAGTAGTTACATTCCTGGACTGTCATTGCTCATTAAAAGTGCTGTCCTAGGGGTGGAAATTGGGTAAGTATTGCATTTTATTAATATCAGCAGAACTGACTTAAATGGGGCCTGTGTGGTGTGTTGTCTTGCCTTAATCTTTGTATTCATGCCCGTCAGTGTAAAAGAAGCAATTTGCATATATATTTGCATGTAAATGCAACCACACTTAAGATGTGGCCCTCGGCATGTGTTGTGAGTATCATTGTGGCCCTCAGGGCTTTCAAAGTTGAGTAGCCCTGCTCTAGGCCATACTCGTTTTGGGGCACAATTTGGTTTATGCCTCCACATCCGGCAGCCCCAATTTCTGTTAGTGTTAAGAACAGCATGGTGCTTGAACTAGCAGTGAAAAAATGATGGTATTTGCCTTATCCCTCCCCCATCTTCTCTCCTGGCAGCAGTGAAAATTGTGGGTATGCTCGTCTAATATATGCACTGGTGCAATAAGTACTAGAATAACAGCCTTCCACGGCCCAGCTGTGTTCAGTTGTTTCCTGTCCTCCTTTGTTGCCATACAGCTGCCTTGGAAATTATTTACAGTTTGTTTGACCTAGGAATGAAAACCAGGGGAAGTCCGTCTGCCACCCACGCCTGGTGGCTGGCTCAGCCAAGAGTTTAACAGACAACTCCGTGGCTAGAAAGAAACGGACGGATAGGGAAGGGGAGGTTGAGAGGTAAAAGGCTGTTGTTCCATTTCAAACTAAAACGGTGCCATGAATGATGGATTCTGCAGCTGGGAAGCCTCAAGGCCACGTCTGCTGCTGCTTCTAATCCTCCTGGCCCACGGTAAGCAGTAATTCATAGCCAGGACATCCCAGGCCATGGTCTTGTAGACTGACCACCTCTAAAACCCCGGGTGTAGAACTTCCCCAAAATAATCCCTAGAGCAGATCTTTTAGGGAAACAGTTTTGAATTTAAAATTGTTAGTGAGGGAGACTTTGCCTCCCCACCATTGGCAAATGGTTCCGGTGGTTAATTACTCTCAGGCTATGTCTAGACTGCAGGCTTCTTTCGGAAGAAACTTTTCCAGAAGAGATCTTCCAAAAAACCTTCTTCCGAAAGAGAGCATCCACACTGCCAAAGTGCATCAAAAAAGTGATCTGCTTTTTCGACAGATAGCGTCGACACTGAATGGACGCTAACTCGCATGTCAGCTGTGATTACTATGGATGGAGTGGCCACCAGGGCACTTGTGCTTTCTCCTCTTTCCTCTTCTTTCGAAAGAACTCCCTCCTTCCCGTCCACACACGCCTTTTTCTGAAAAAGCTCTTTCAGAAAAAGGCTTCTTCCTCATAGACGGAGGTTTACCAGTGTCAGAAAAAAACCTTTGTTCTTTCGATTTTTTTTTGAAAGAATGCGATTGCAGTGTGAACATAAATGAAGTTTTTTTCAGAAAAAGGCCATTTTTTTCTGAAAAAACTCTGCAGTGTAGACATACCCGCACTATTAAAAATGTATGCTTTTTTTCCAGTCTGAATTTGTCTACAGCACAGTCTGTTAAGGCGATGGTAACTATATATGACAGAGGGGAAAAGCCCTGAACTTACCAATTGTGGATACCACCGTGCCCACAAAGAAGAAGGAGTTACTAAAATCCCAGTTGCTGAGTTCAGTCTGTGATTCGTTTCCTACTGGATAGACTCCTCTCTGCACCGCTTCGGTGAGGTTCTGCAAGCGAAAGCAACGTTTGATATGAGCATCTCCCCCTTCTCAAGGTCCATTGTGATCACACAGAGGAATCAGCCCACCAAGGCCCCTTTCCTGTGAGTACCCGTAGACTGTAAGCAGAAGTAGGCTGCCTGGGCTACCGGCCCTCTTGCTTCCACAACCACCGGCTCACCAGCAGCCAATCAGCATTTCAGACCAAGTCCTGTGCTTACCTGTTCATTTCACTTGGGTGTTTCAGAACTACATTGATTTCCACCCAGACCTAGCCTGATAGAGTTTTATCCTAAATTATTTGCATCAGAAATGCAGAAATCATGGAAAAGGCTTGGATAGATTAATTCAGCCTGCTGCATTTTACAACCACCGGCTCACCAGCAGCCAATCAGCATTTCAGACCAAGTCCTGTGCTTACCTGTTCATTTCACTTGGGTGTTTCAGAACTACATTGATTTCCACCCAGACCTAGCCTGATAGAGTTTTATCCTAAATTATTTGCATCAGAAATGCAGAAATCATGGAAAAGGCTTGGATAGATTAATTCAGCCTGCTGCATTTTAACATTGTGCCTTGTTATTCTCCATCCCTGGGTCTTTTGCGATGGTTCTTTCTCCCCCAGCAGTTTGAGAGGTACTGTTTTCATGGTGGAATTGTAAGGAACACTCCTGGGTATTTGAATCATCCCTCTACATTCTGTAGCTTTATTTGAAAGCAAACGCCAATGCCTTGCTGTATATGTTCCCTCCCTTCCAGATTCTAACTTGCAGTGCTCATTGGGGACTACAGCTAGTCTGCCAAAAGAAATGGAGAGAGCAATTGTTAGAACCATAGGGTGATGACAATTATGGTTCCAAGCCAGGGTCACCAACAGGCGGACAAAGGGAACAGTTGCCCTGAGACCCAGCAATTGAAAAGGGCTAACTAGCGCAAGGGCTAAGTACTGGAATAGGCTTCTCAAGAACAAGCTGGACAGACATCGGTCAGGGATGATCTAGGAGGTTTAGGTGGTCCAACCTCAGCCCAAAGGGATGGATTAGAACAGTAGTGGGCAACCCATGGCCCACAGGCTGCATGAAGCCCACCAGGGTTCTATGTGTGGCCCATGAAATATTTTGTTTACTGTAATCCACGTGCAGAGTGGCCAGATTCCACTGGTTTCTGTCTGTGTAGCTTTTTTCCTGCTAGTATTACCAAAGTGACACACGTGAGGTGCGTGCCGACTGTACGCAACATTGGCTGTGAGAGCCGGGTGCTCTTGCTGCATCCAATCAAACAGCTGCTACAGTTCAATTGGCACACCCCGCAAATTCTAGGTACACCAGCACAGGTAACAAAACTACCCTTTCCCAGGAGCCTGTCTTGGTGACACCCATCTTGCAGCCCACTGAGGTGGAGGGCCACTCATGCAGTCCGCTCACTAGCCTAGGCTATGTCTACACTGCAGGCTTCTTGCGCAAGAAGCTTTTTGTGGAAGAGACCTTCTGCAAAAACTTCTTGCGCAAAAGTGCGTCCACACTGCAAAAGCTGCACAAGAGAGTGTCCAGACTGCATGGACGTTCTCTTGCAAGAAAGCTCTGGTTGCCATTGTCCACACACACCTTTTTGCACAAGAGCTCTTGCACAAAAAGGAGTTATTCCTCGTAGAAAGAGGAATACCGATACCACAAAAAGCCCTCTGTTTTGTCAATTCACTGTAAATTTACTTGCACAAAAACACAGTTGAAGTGTGTTTTTGCATAGACGTAGCCCTAGCTTGTCCATTGTTGGATTAGATGAGATCTCTTCCAGCTTTATATTTCTGTGCTGCTATGAACATTTCCCCCCCTCCCCCAAATAGATACGAGATATTCACAAAGAAGAGTTTTCAGACGCCTTCGGTCTTTCTCTGTTCTAATGGTAAGTGATGGGTGTATGTTAAGATAAAACTTTAAACAAAACCTGCATCCAGCTGTGCCTGCCCGTAACACCCTGAGGAAGTGGGGCCGGACAGCTTGAAGTAAGGCTGATTTGATACAGTCACAGTATAGATCAATTCCAGAGATGAGACTGGCCAGAAGCTAGACACAAGACAGGATAAATTGCACCAGAATGATCTCACACCATGGTTTCGCACCCTGCACTGCTGGTGTCCCAGAGTCCGGAAAAGCAGAAATCACTCCACAGGGCCAGCACAAAGGTTTATTTTCATTCTCTTGAATAAGGTTTTTTTCCCCCCCTTCCCAAATAGAAAGCTAGAGTAAAGGGTAAAGTGGCAGCTGGATCAATGGTTTCTTTATTAACTGCCCTTTTTTTTTACTATTAAAAGCCCCCTTTAGATTCCCATATGGTAACACTTAATGGCAGGACTATTTTTAACCCTATGTTCTCATAGAATACTCAAACTTGAAGGGATCTAGGGAGACCATCAAGTCCAGTCCCCTGCTCTCATGTGGTGTAACAGATAAGGTCTAAAATGTAGAGAAAGAGCCAGAATCCACTCGGTTTCCTTTTCAGTGACTAGAAATTCCTCTCTCTCTCTACCAGGTTGCTGGCCCAGCTTTTTGTGCAGGGTAGCATGCCTGGGGGTAGGGTGGGAACAGATCGCTGGGTCAGATGAGCCAGGGTTGTGGAGATGCCCCAGTGGTTTTGGGGACTGGAGCAGCTGCTGCTTTGGTCAGTTGCCCAGAGTGTGGGCTGTCTACTCCGACTAGCCATTGGACTCAGGATTCACCTTCAGCGTTTAAATGCCACCACCCCAATGGATGCACAGGAAAAGACACAATGCTTGTTACCTGCCTGTGTCACAGTAAACACAATGTAAGTGAAAACCAGGCTGGCTTGCACGGGACGACGCTGGAGGCCACCGTCGCGTGCTACCGCAGCACCCCTTACCTTCACAAACTGCTCAACATCTGCCGCAGTGAGGCGAGTGAAGTTCTGCAGAAAAGCCTCCTTCATCTGGATTACAGCCATTTTCTGTTCTTTCTCAGCATTTTTCTCCAGAGCCCGGAAGACGATTGCACCCAAGAGTAAGTAGGTGGAATAGCTGACCACCAGCAGACTGGCCTGGATTTTGTTACTGCACATGGTACCCTACAGGCAAATGGAGGAAGAGGGAATTGTCTCTATTTGCATATAACTCTCTAATGTCAACTTCCTGTACATCAGAGCCTGGGGTTTATGCGCCCCTCCCAACTGCTTGGGTTTCCTCAGTGACCGCAGGCAGTCTCAGACAGCAAGCTAATGTGACCATTCAAGGGAAGATAAAATCTCCAACTCTCTTGGAGTAGCATGGGTCTGCAGTCTGTGCGACTTTGCCTGGCTGAGTTCTCAGGAACGCAGGTCAGAGTGCAGGAAGCAGACTGGCTGGATGCCTCCTGCTTCTGCTGGAAGGGTGCCGGGGGAGAGGGCCGGTGCAACCAATACCCGCAAGAATAGATCAACGCCTTGCACCACATGTCGTCTTGTTCCCACTGCAACAAGGATTCCACTCCACATATTTTGCTGAGCTATTCATCAAAACACCGCAGCACGAGCCTGCGTCTCCACAACACCAGGCCCTGGAGCCACACAAGGGAGATGCTTGTTGGTGGGGAAGTCGGAGAAGCTCACCCAGCTGTCCGAAGTCAAGCAGAGCTCAAAACCCCAGCCAGGCAGCCCCCTGCCAGGAGAGAAAAGCAGGTAGGATGTTCATCCCCAAAAGTAACATAGGTGCCAGCTCCAGGATGTGCCAGGTTTGTAGCACCATGGGTACACAACTGTGAGGTGATGGGCGGGAGGCACAGGGGGAGGGGGCAGGACAGGAAGAGGCAGGGGAAGTGTGAGGCCTTGGAAGGGATGAAGTGGGGTCAGGGCCTCGGGGCAGAGCTGGGATGGAGCATGCAGATGAAGAAGAAAGTCAATGCCCATGCAAGGCTCTATCACTTGAGCTAAACGAGGTATTCCTTCAACTGGCAGCAGTAACGGGCTGTTGCTGTCTATGGAACCACTATTGGAGGGGGACATGACACGCACCTGGCCCCCTGGGTTCCATACTGGGACCCGCCCTGTGTTCACACAGAGCTCCTGACCATCTCCCCATGTTTCCTCGGAGAACCAGCCAGCGCCAGGGTCTCCACTCAGCCGTTGGATGATAGCTGAGTCAGGCCTCCTCAGAAACACAATCTCCAGCCCATCCCAGCTGCGCAGCCTTGCCAGCAGCGAGTTCCTACGTCAGTGACCTCACAAAGGCCTAGGGGCAGGTGAACAGCCCCCACAGATACCCCAGGGGGAAGGAGGCAGTAGTCCAGTCCCCAGAGCAGTGGGCTTCATGGGATGCCTCAAATTCCCCTGCTGCTCTGTGTGTCTTGTTCACACATAAGACTTTGAATTATATCCCACCAAACCCTTCTAATCTCTGTTGTGCAGCACCCTCCTCTGTGTTTTATCCCACACAACTACAAGATGTCGCAGCCCCATACGTAGACATCCACACCGACTCACGGCCGCGTGCCCCCTGCCGCATCCTTTGCGTTCGACTGAGTGCCACGTGAAGGGTGTGGCCACACTGCTGTACGAACTCAGGCTTAAGCCCAACCATCCACACCCCCATCTTTCTGACTGGGTCAGAAAGCCCTGCAGATCTGGGCCCGTGGACCCACCTTGAAGTAGGTCCAAGCCCTGTCATTTTGCAACTCAAGTCGCAGACCCCATGCCAGGAGGTTTAATGCCATGTGGCTGTGTTCGCATCACACCCAGGTCCAGCTATGGCAAGGCCAGGTTTACAGTGCGCTGTGAATGCCTGGCAACAGGTGTGGCAGCTCCCATCGTTCCAGATTAACAATGCAGCCTAGACATCCCTGAGCCCTGCGTCTCAGGGTGTCGAGATGGTCTCATTGCACTTCGCTTCACAGTCCTCTGTTTTGTATCTCCCCAGCGAGAGGCAGCAGGGCCTTGCCGCTCCTATAGACAGCTTTTCCTGTTAAAAACCTATCTGGGGACCCATGTTCCACCTCACACCCTGTTCTGGTCTAGTGGGTGTTCTGGGCAGTCATGGAGGAGAAGTTGGTAGAAGAAACCAACTTTAGTATAGCTCTGATTCAATACCTTCAGCCCATGCCTAGGTCTATCCTGCTTCAGCAACACATTTAAACAGGAGTTTAGCTTTAAAATGTGCTGGTATACTTTTGCACTCAGCACATACTTCAGTTCTTTGTTGAATCAGTGTCTATGGGCCCAATTCCAGACATTATCCAGGCAAAACGCCTGTTGATTTCAGCACAAATCTCTCTCTCTGTCCTTCTCTCTCCCCGTCCCGTCTCTCGGTAGATCAGACCCACAATATTCTAGTCTAGAAGCTGTTTTTAAGGTTTGGAAAGTACTCCAGCGAGGATTGAATAACGGTTTATTCACTTAACTCATTCAGCCAGGAGTTCTCTACAGTGCCAGTGATGTCACCCCAACAGTTTACTTTAGACCTATTGTTTCTTAATGCATTTCAATCCCATCCTAGCACTGCACCCTAAAGATAGTGTAATATTAGCTGAAGGACAAAATTAGCTGCTAATCCTGCTGCTGCTATTATTGGCTGGCAAAGCAGTATTCCCATGGCACATGATTGATTCATAAGTAGTGATCTGGAAAACAAGATTTCCAAAGTCAAAAGTGTGATGATTTGCTTCTCCCAGCAGCATTGTCTGTAAAGCCCGACAGCTGAGCACTGTGGAGAGCTTGGCTTCCTCTTTTAGTACTTTCTCACCTGCTGCTTGTCACACCCTGAATTAACTGACCCTCTCTATACAGCTGGCTCATTTCCTCTCCCCTTCACCGCCCCTCCACCCCATCCCCAGCAGCCAGTGGGGTGACCCATCTGTTATAAAGCAAGGTAGAATTGGTATTTCACTGAGCCTCACAGCCTTCTGCACAGGCACACACTCACCGTTCCTCTCCCTGTGTCCAAAGCTGCCCACTTGCCCAGGTCCCTATGTTACACTCACAGCACCTCCCCTTCTGTCTGACAGCTGGGCTACTGCCTTTGTATTAGGTGGGAGCTGCTTAGCTGCACCATGGCCTCTATGAGGTCACTGATATAGTCACCCCCTGTATTTGGTGGGACTGCTTAGCTGCCCCCCTAGGTCTCTGTGAGGTCATTGATACACTCCCCTCTGTTTACCAGCCCCAGGGCCTCATAAGTCCCTGGTGTGACCAGACTGGTGTCCCTTTGCACTCTTATGGCAGATAAGCTCAGATTCCCTTAGAGAAAGGTTAAAGGCCACTGTACTACGATCGGTTAGCACACACTTATGCATGTAGCGTCTATTGACTTCAGAAGGACCACGCACATACGTTACGTGTCACCAGCATAAGTAAAGGATGTGGAATTGTTCTGAGAGAGTCCGAATCTGTCCCCACCAAAGTCATTGAGAGTCCCTGAAGGCAGGCATTATATTTGGACAGCAGAGATAAGGAAAGGACAGAAGAGACTTTGGTTAACCCAACACATCCTTACAGATGGTGCAAATGAAGTTGCTCAGTCTTAGATTTACAACCTGGATCTCTCAATGTGCCCAGCTCTTTGGCTGCTGCCTTAAAAATCATAAAAGTAAATAAGCCACTGATGAAGGCTTTAAGTATACCAGCCAGCTCTGCTCTCCAAAGCCCAGTTTGAAAAATGCCCATTTTTCACAAATTAATGCTGGGTGACGTCCTTCCTTTCATTAAAAGTTTCTTTCTACACTCAGACTCTGTGCCTGTGTAACCCATAGACCTAGTGTGGTTCACTGTCCCATGTAGTGACACTTAGACCACTTACAGCGAGGGATAAGAACAAGGGAGGTCTACAGCCTAAGTTGGGATCCAGCTGGCTTCATAGCTCAAAATGTAGCGGCTACTACACTAGGTTCCAGGTTCAGATCTACCTGGTGACAGCTATACATGGGAAAGGGGAAGTATTGCCTTTTGTCTGGAAATGGGTGACAGGAGAGAGATCACTTGATCATTACCTGTTGTGTTCCCTCCCTCTGAGGCATCTGGCATTGGCCACTGTCGGCAGACAGGATACTGGGTTGGATGGACCTTTGGTCTGACCCAGTATGGCCATTCTTAACCGTGCCCTAGGGGTGGTGTGTGATTGTCCCAGGCTGCTGAGAGGGGCTCCACCTGATGTGTGTTGTATCTTTTCCTCAAGATCAGTTAAATACATTTTCTTGAGGTTTTACTATTGACATAGCAAAGTGCCTTGGTCTGAGGAGTGTTGAACTGAGGTGAAACCAGTGAACTGGGCTGTTCTGTCTCCATGGAGACAGCAGATTGCTGTCCATTTTGGGTGTCCTGGAGATCAGGGACTGGAAACTCGTGTGTAAGAAGGTGAAATGTGCTAAT